AATAGGTCTCTGTAGCCAGTGTTCTCAGGCTAGGAAGACCTGGGAGGAGGAAGGTGCAGTTGCTAGTTTTTGTGCTCACTATTCACTTATTTGGCTCCTGAGGAAAGCTTTGCCATCCCTCTGAGCCTCTCCTGGGAAAGGCTCTGCCACACCCATAGTGCTGAGGTATCAGAGTCCTTGACACAACCATGCCCATGTCTTTAATACAAACTCACTCAGGACTTAACTCAGGGCCTCCCCCTCTCCCTATAGTGAAGGGACCAACTCCCCATTTCAGCAACCATAACAGCCTAGCACTCGATTGCCTGACCTTGCCTTCGTCACTAGGTCAGATGCCTGCCTCGACAAGGAACCAATCAGAAGTTAGCTGGTGGTGCTATGCTTTACGGCTCTGGGTGTGCTTTACAGACAAGTGCACAGCATTGACGCGCAGAGCATAGCAACCACCCTGGGAGAGCCTATGGGCCATAACAACCAGCTGGCCAATCAACACAGGGCAAACCCTCCAAGCCTGGAGGCACACCAATCCTGAGCCTGTGCGTACCCCTAGACACTCTCCTTACACTGCCCTATAAGATCTCTATGCAGTGGCTTCTCGACGTCTTTCCCCACCATTCCCTCGGAAAGGCCCGAGCTAACATGGGGTTAGCTCATTAAACAACTGCAATAAAGCCTCTTGCTGTTTGCATCAAATTTCCGCCTCCTCCAGGTGATTGGGGTTGTCGTGGTCCTGGACCGAGATCCTGGGGGCCTGAGCCTCGGGGGTCTTTCATTAGTTAATATTTTCTATCTCATTTTTTAGTTTTATTTTCATATTGTGGATTAACTCTGGTACTTTCATTCAGCTGTCTGTGTTCCCTTGGAAGATAGTTCAGGATAGATGGGGTTGTAGTAATATTTCATCTGTTAAACTGATTTCCCAGGTACAATCTCCAATCTGCCCCTGTGGGTTGAGCACTGGCTGTAGCAGCAGTCAGTATCAAGCATCTACTCTAATAATTGATGGCAGGTGACAGAAGTTAGAAATAGTCTTGGTGAAACAACCCAAAGCTAAAGCACCTCAAAAGACAAAACTTTATTCTTCCTCAAGAATTCTTACCCACAAAAAGGGGGAAACCTTGGCTTTCATTCTAATGCAGGAGGTGAGGGCTCTGTTTTTTCTCTCTTGACTGGGATCTGACCTCACAGTCTTTCATGACTGGCTAGTTTAAAAAGAATCAGTTCAAAGGAAACGAGGGACAACAGGAAGGGTTTGGTCACTTAAGACCTGAGAATGTTGTAGAGCCTTGGTGTAAACAAAAGCTTTGGGGTGGAGGAACTATTAAAATATTTGCATAAAGGTTTTATGGGAGGGGGTGAATTCCTTGTCTAGAATCGAAGTTTTACAGTGTTTGACAAATACTTAATGCTCCTTACATTACAAAGCAGATACTTGTCAAGTACCAATTGTTTTAGAGAGTGAAGGGACTCCAATAGTTCTGTGTATTTTAATAGGTTGATCTGAGTGGGAGGATAAGAAAACAAGTAAGCAGTCATGGTGAGGCCAGACTAAGTATTAGGTTGTAGGATGGGAAGTAGAGGAGAGGGATTCGCAAAGTGGGTGGGGGGAACTGAGGCAAAGGGGAAAATAGGGTGGGTATTGGGGGGTTTGGGCTAACAGTAGACTAAAAAGAAGAGGTAAAGATATGCACCAGATTTTGTACAATAGGTCAACTTCTGGGTTTTGGGAGATGTAACAGTAAGAGGGCATGGGGAAAGAGAAAGAAGAAAGAGAGAGAGTAAAAGGCGTGGACAGTTGGGAGCGTCTGCTGCAGTGACTGTTAGACCCCTGGAAAACTCAGGTATCCGGGGTCCCAGGCCATGACCTCGGTCACCCCAATCACCAGGCGGAATCGAGAGCTTGATGCAAACTGCATGAGGTTTTATTGTAATTTAACAAGCTAACTCCATGTTAGCTCGGGTCTTTCATCCCACCCGCCATGGCAGATGGCTCGAAAAAGACAGCTCCTAGGGCCTCTCAAGAGATCTTATAGAGCAGAGTGTCTAGGGGTACGCATAGGCTCACTATTGGTGTGCCTCCAGCCTTGGAGGGTTTGCCCTGTGTTGATTGGCCAACTGGTTGTTATGGCCCATAGGCCCTCCCAGGGTGGTTGCTATGCTCTGCATCATTGCTGTGTGCTTGTCGGTAAAGTACACCCAGGGTGGTAAAGCATAGCGCCACCAGCTAACTTCTGATTGGTTCCTTGTCACAAGGCAGGGATCTGACTTTCTAGTGTCTAGGACAAGGTCAGACAAGCACGTGTTCGGCCGTTATGACTGCCGAAAGGGGAGCTGGTCCCTTCATGACTACTATACCAGTGTCCCATCCGGGTTTCTTGGAGAAATTAAACTGAATCAAATCATAGGGAATTTCAATACGTCAGAATCAGTCAGGCTATCTCAAAGAAGATTCAGCAGATGAGGGTGCTTGCCACCAAGCCTGATGGCCTGAGTTCAAGCCCACCCTTACAAACTGTCCTATGACCTCCATGCTTACACTACAGCATTCACATGTGGGTACACACACACACACACACACACACATACATACACGTGAACGCATGAGAGTGCATGCAGGTGCACACATACGCACAAATAAACAAATGAAAAAACTATAATAAAATTATGCTGTGTGTTTATATTTGTATTATTTATGTAAATCAATTAAGAAACAAAAATCAAGAAATCTTGCAAGATTCCCCCTATTTATTATAAAAGTAACACACTTGCTGGGTGATGGTGGCACATACCTTTAATCCCAGCACTTGGGAGGCAGAGGTGGTGGTGGTGGGGGGGAGATTGGGAGGTGGGGGGTATCTCTGTGAGCTCAAGGTCAGCCTGGTCTACAGAGCAAGTTCCATGACAGGCTCCAAAGCTACACAGAGAAACCCTGTCTCAAAAAACAAAACAAAACAAAACAACAACAACAACAAAAAGATTCTGGCCATTTCTGATGCTGAACACCTGTAAACCTTTAATCCTAGCATTTGGGAGACAGACTCAGGTGATTCTCTGTGGGCTCAAAAACAGACTGGACTATAAAGAGTTCCAGAACAGCCAGGACTGCATGGTGAGACCCTGTCTCAATAAAATAAAATGAATTCTGCCCATATAATCATGTGTGTGTGTGTGTGTGTGTGTGTGTGTGTGTGTGTGTGTGTGTGTTACTGGGACAGAATGAAGGATGGTTTTAGGCTTGCTAAGCAAACACTCTACTAGTGAATTACACTGTCACCCTCAACACAGTCTCTTAAATAGTCCCTGACTCTGCATCTTTCACATGCAGAGTCATGTTAGTAAAGATGATTTTTTGAGAAGTTTTGATTAGAAGGTTTAAGGAAGTGAAGAATCCCCCTTGTAACGTTTTAGCTGTAAGAAAAAACTTTGGGGGGGGCTGGAGAGATGGCTCAGAGGTTAAGAGCACTGACTGCTCTTCCAGAGGTCCTGAGTTCAATTCCCAGCAACCACATGGTGGCTCACAACCATCTATAATGAGATCTGGTGCCCTCTTCTGGTGTGCAGATATACATGGAAGCAGAATGTTGTATACATAATTAATAAATAAAATCTTAAAAAAAAAAGAAAAAACTTTGGTATCTGAATTAGATCCTTTTCTGTTGCTGTGATAAAACACACAGCCAAGGCAACTTGTAGAGAGAAGGGTTTATTATCTGTCCAGAGGAATAAGAGTCTTTCATCTTCATGCCGGGATGATGGCAGCAGGCAGGCTTGGGGCTGGAGCAGCAAGATGAGAACTTACATCTTGGTCCACAAACACAAGGCAGAGACAGTGAAATGGGAATGGCATGTGGATTTTGAAACCTTAAAGCTTGACTCCAGTAAGGCCACACCCCCAAACCTACCCAAACAGCACCACCAACTGGGGACCAAGTATTCAAATAGCTGTGCCAGCAGGGGACATTTCTCATTCAAACCATCCCAGACTCCAAAAAGTACACAGAGCCAGATACACTGATAGCCTTTCAAAAGCTTTAATTTTTAGCTTAATCTCAAAGTTTAAGTCCCATCTTCCCCAGATTTAATGTCCAGGAGATGTGCTCATCTTCCCTGCACCACCACCTACCACCACCACCCACTCTCCGAGGGTCCCGTGAATGGATAAAAGAATGGCTGAGCCGGTTCTCTTCCACTGTGATCTTTTGTTGTGGAGTCCCCGTGTGAGAGCATCCCTACCCTGTCTCTCCATAAGAAAGTAGAGAGTCTGAGGTTCAGGCATTCTCATCAGCCACCCCTCCGCTAGTCAATCAGAGAATCAAGTTGTGTGATTGGATGGAGCAAAACGATGTTCACCGGGTCACAGAGGGTTAATTCAGTTCCCTTCCAGCTTCCATCCTGAAAAGCAAGCGAACAAATAAATGAACAGCAGAAGATATGAAGGTCTTATTTACCCAGAGTGCTGTCCTAAGACCTCGGACCCATGTCACATCATGGTTCTCATTCTTACTCTGGCTTCCTCGCTTTTCTTTTCCCTGTCTGTCTCATGGTGTTTCATTTCAGTATTTTTATACAATGAAGATATGTTATATAAATACGTAAGTAAATAAACAATGAGGTAGAAGGTTGTCCTCTGTCCCGCCCCTACAGGAGGCATTCATACATACATACAGACAGACATATGTACCCATAACACATATACCTTCACAATACACTCATAATCACATAGAAACCATCACACAAATATCACTATTAGTTTTTTTTCTCATGTGAACTATGGAGACATCATGCTCTCTTCAAGACTTTAGGACAGTGTGGCACTTGGGAAACTGGGGTAGGAGGTTTACAAGTTCAAGGCCAGCCTGAGCCACTTAGTAAGACCAAGACAATAACAGTATCTCAAAAGAGAGTTCTCTCGGCCGAAGCTCCCCTGCCCCAAAGTCCTCTTCCTTCTGAATGGTACCACCCCATCCCTGAACTGGACTTCTCTCTCTGCTGGACTCACCTCATTCACAAGGGTCAGAGTACTGAGCCATTGCCTGTTCATCTGTGAAATGAATTGACATGTTATTCTTGGGGGAGTTCAGAGGTGATCCTTCAGAGGTAAAAGTTCTGCTTTATCCACCTTCAGATGTCTCCAAGTGCTGTGAGCACATAGAGACACAGACACACTCATCAGTCCCCTGAGAACAGTGGTCTACTGCATTCCTTTGGTCTAAAGACCACAGCATAGAAAATACCTCTTCTGTAGATGAGCTTTTATTATCTATTGATTTTATTATTTGTTTATTTCATTTGTTTTTTCCAAACAGAATCTCGTGTAGCCCAGGCTGTCCTCAGCCTCTCTATGTAGCTGAAGCTAGCCCTTATCCTTCTGCTTTTGCCTTCTAAGTGCTGAGATTACGGTCATCTACCACCATGCTTGGCTCCCCTCACCCCCACCTCCATCCCCAATACTGAGATTGAACACACGACCTTGTGAACGCTAGTCAAGTGCTCTACTGGTAAGCTATAGCTTCAGTTTTTTTTAGATGACTTAAAAAAAAACTGTTTTAGGTCAGGTAATATGATTTCTTACTGCCTGTCTTGTGAAGGAGTATTTGTAAAATTAAGAGCACGAGGCCATAAAAGTGAGATAAAAGCGGCCTGGGAGATGCATGTAGGCTCCCCATACTCACCCAGCAGGTAATAGTCATAGACTTTGATGGTTGCAGGTTTCAGGTTGGTGACCAACACACTTTGGCTGATGGTCAAAGTGTAAGTCTGAGTCTTCTTATTGAGCTGTAGGAACACAGAGCAAGCACATCAAAATGAGGGAGCCAGAGAGATGGCTCAGTGGTTAGGCCCTGCTGCTCTTCCAGAGGATCTGAGTTGGGTTCTCAGAGCCATGTTGGATGGCTCACAAACACTTGTCACTCCAGCGCTAGTGGATTAAATGAACCCTTCTGGCCTCCACAGGCACCCACAGGCATATCACACACACACAAACACACACACACACAAATATAGACCTGGTGGTGGTGGCGCTCACCTTTAGTCTCAGTACTTGGGTGGCAAAGGAAGGTAGATTTCTGTGAGTTTGAAGCCAGCCTGGTCTACAAAGCAAGCTCCAGGATACCTAGGGAACTGTTACACAGAAAAACCCTGTCTCAAAAAAAACCCCCAAAATACATTTTTAAAAGACAACTAAAATGAACCATGCATGGTGACAGCATGGTGACACACATGGGCACTCAGGAAACTGAGACAAGAGAATCAAGAGTCTCAGGTGTGCCTGGGTGACACAGCAAGACCCTGTTTCAAGGAGAAGTAGGGAGAGGGAGAACAAAACAAAACTAAGGTGAAAAAGGGGACAGTATAGCTCAGTGGTGGGATGCTTGCCGAGCACATGTGAGGCCTTGAGTGTGATCCTCTGAACTACTAGCAAACAAACCAATGTGTCTTTCTGGAAGATGAACGGGCTGGGCAGAGGGTTGAAAATGGGACAGGGATATTCACATTAAAAGCAAATCTTAGTTTGGTTCGCTCTTTTCTGTGAGCTATAAAATAAAGGTAACTTTATTCCCCATGTGGAACAAAATTTGATAAAAAGTTGTACCAAAGTTTAGACTGTTTACTAGGTCCTTGGGAACGTCTAATTTGATTGAAATAAAAACAAGCTGAATTAAAATTAAATCTTAGCATTAAGATAAGATAATATGGACATATAGCATGTATTGAGTGCTTATTTTGTGTGAGGAACACTTTCAAATACCTTTATAGTCTTAAACCATGTAAGCCTCTGAATAACACTACAGGCTTAGCATGCAGTTCAGGGGTAGAGCATTGGGTTCAACCCTCAGCACTGCAAATAAATAAATAAAAACTGAAGAGTTCTAGGACAGATAGAGTTACCTGTCTTTTACCAATAACTCATTTCACAGTTAAGGAAACAGAGACTTTCAACAGTTCACAAAGCTACACAACCAATCGTTAAAACCAAGAGTTCAGAGCAGCAGTTTGGCTAAAGCTCTTGCTGTTAAGCATGTATTGTAATCTGGAGTCACAATGATGATTGTGCTACTGAGCACTCAAAACTGGCCAGAAAGAATGGAGATGGACTGACAGTGTAAAACACATGCTGGAATTCAAAGGTGCAAAAATGGGATGCATATACATAGGCACTTAGTATTATGTTTATTTTATGTTTCAGTATATTGTGAAGTTGAAATATTGGGGAATATAAAGTTAAATTAAAAAAAAAAACATTATCTTGAGAAAAGGTTTCACCAGGCTGGCCTCAAACTCATGGAGATCCATCTGCCTCTGCCTCCCAAGAACTAGGATTAAAGGTATGTGCCACCACACCCAGCTAAAATTTTCTTGATTGTGTCTACTAGGTTCAGTCCCTAGCACTGGACCTCGGAGCTACATAATTAGCCCACAGAACTATTAAAATAATAGAGCTTTAAGTTTGTAAAAATATTCAGAACTGTTGCCAGTGAAAAGAGAAACCTCACATTCATATTATCTATTGCGCTAAGTTTAATTTAATTTAAATGTTACATTTAACTTCTCATTTCAACAAAGCTCAAAGTTCCCAAGGATTAGTAAGTACAATGTTAATTCTCATCATATTTTTTCTTTTCTTGAATGTGCCTTATTAGAAATCTGGAATGGCATAAACAGCTCAGGGTATCAATCTATGGGAGGACGTTTGTCCACAGAGGTGGCACCTGCTTCGTGGTGCACCAGCATGGAGCAGACCTCTCCTCACACTGAGCACTCCCGGGTCCTGCATGTCTGCGTACATGACACTAGGATGTGCAGACGTCAAGGGAAGCCAGCGGATACGCACAGAATCCAGCTCTTTGGTTAGTTCTGAACACCTACCTCCTCCAAGTAAATGTTAAGTGTGTCTTTGCCGGACTCGACCTTCTTCACCAAGGGTTGCTGCAGAAGCTAGATTTTAAAAGGAGGTAAGAAAGAGATTAGAAGTCAGAGCCAGGCTGTCTACTATGCCGGGCGTAAAGCATTTTATTCCATTTTAAACTCCCGACATTTCAGTTTTACTATGAGATATGTTCTAACAAGTATGTATTCTTTTTCTTTTCACGACAACTTCAAATTCCAGCATCTTTTACGTACTGTCGTACATGGCCAGCATGACCCTGCTCTTTCTGGCCAGTTTCAAGTGCTCCAGAATAAAGAAAGTGTGGTATGTAGGCCAAATGTACAGTATTCGCCTAGTATGTGCAAGGCCCTGGGTTCCATCCACAGCACAGGATAAGAATAGAAACCACAACTATTATCACTTCCATTTTATATATCGGGTGCACCTCAACAGCCCTTTCAGATGGTCCGTTCTTGAGTTGTAAATGTGTGCACATGGATATATAGGATGATGCCAACTTCACCAGGTTTGGGTTCATCAATAATGTTAGGTTCCCTAAGACACAGATAAATGGAAGAAATAGAAGCCACCTACTAGCTGCTTGGTGCCTTCTACAGGACTGAACCCAGACAGCATCTTCACTTCCACAATGGCCATGTTGGAAGAGCTGCGGCTCCCCACGTAACTGAAGGCAGAAAGAAGCAGACTTGTGTCAATCTACTATTTCCACTCTTGCTACACTCTGCACACACACACACACACACACACACACACACACGGAGGGGGGGGCCTAGGCACCCCCCCACCCCCCCCCCCCCCCACCCCCCCCACGGAGGGGGGGTCATATGCACACCCCCACTCCACCTACCCTTTCCACACATAAATTTCAGTTCCCGAGACCCAGGTGCCCCCAGCTTTCCTTGCCTGGTATGAATAGTGAGAGTCAAGGACCGAGGCAACGTGAGTTTTTCACAACTAGCTTTTCCCGTTTCCACCTGAATGCTAAAGCTCTCCGGGATGTTAGGAGGGAAAATGTTGTATCTCAACACCGTCTGGTGGAAGGAGATAACCAAATCAGAATAAGGAAGGACTTCAAATTCCTATATGGGAGAGGGGAGATACCAAAGGAGAGAGAGGAAGAGGAGGGACAAGGGAGAGGTATCTGAGGTGAGACATCTCTGATGCTGTTTTCCCATGCACTCCATTCTCCTGGCCCTCTGCTTGCCTGCACATAGACGCAGCCCTGGCCTGAGGCCTCCACAGTGTACACTCCAGGGATCATGGGCAGTGCCTCCTGCTGCAGGCCCAGTCTGTTGGCACACTTTATGTTGAAAGTGTGATGGAAATTCTCAGTGGACTTTACAACCACGCTGACTTCCTCGGATGGCACGTAGGCAATAGCGGCAAACTTGGCAAGTGCTTGGAGGGCAACTACAGTATCCTGAAGTAAAACAAGCATGGTTTACAGGTTTGTGAGCCATGCAGATTAACCTCAAGGACCCTGTAACCAATGGCCTGTAGCTGGAGCTGGCTTGGGTCACAGCACTCCTAAGTATAGAGAACTGTATTCACCTCTCCTGGGGAAGCTGAGATGGAAAACTCTGACAAAGCTGTATAGAAAATCACGCATAGACAATCATCACTAACAAGTTGTTATTGGACAGCATTAGGTCATCTGGCCATTCTGGTGAATTCATACTTAGAAACAGAACTTGGCTTCAAAGGGGTTATTTACAGAATCAAGTGGATAATGGCTTATTGTACATTTCATAGCTCTCTTGTTGGAGGAATAGCAACTACTTGATGTCCTAGAAAGTTCATACCTTCTACAGTCATTTATTCTGCAGTCATCTGTGCGGTGACCTCTGTCTAGTTGGAGAGGGTACCAGGACCCTTGAACAGCCTTTCCTTTCAGTCCAAGGCTTCTTAGCTACTGGGACACATAATATCTATTCTTTAACTCCGAATAAGACAGACTATCACTAAGAGCACATTGTATTGTGTAGCTTGAAGCTTTCCACTTCAAAAACCGCCATTTATATAAAATTACAATAAAGAGGAAGAAAATGAGATGCCCAGGAAAACTGCTATGTTCTGCTCTCTGCTGTGAGAATGCCCACATGCTTGACACTGTCAAAGACATATTACAGAATAAAGAACCTCACTTTTCATATCCCAAAGAGACCTAAAGAACATGCATATTTAGACAGCATTGCTGCCCTATGAAGTAGGGAGTGGGGCAGCCCTGTGGACGATACAAATCAGCTTCCCCTGTAAAGCTCTGTCTACCCTTTGTGAGCTGGAGCCATGGGATGGTCACTGTTTAAACACGCTGAAGCAACCAATGCAACAGAACCTCCCATGGGCTAAAGATTCAGGGTGTGTGTGTGTGTGTGTGTGTGTGTGTGTGAGTGTGAGTGCCTGTGTGTATGTATGTATGTGTGTGTATGATTGTGTATTGTGTGAGTGTGTATGTGTGTGAATATGTATGTGTGTGTGGTTGTGTGGTTGTGTGTGAGTGCTTGTGTGTGTGAGTATGTATATGTGATTGTCTGTTTATGTGGGTGTATGTGTATGAGAGAGAGAGAGAGAGAGAGAGAGAGAGAGAGAGAGGACTTTTTGTAACCACTAAGGATTTTAGTGAAAAGCAATTCTGACAGGCATTTGTCACCAACAGCTCTGAAGACTTCTTTCACTGCTTGCAGAATATTTATATTCTAATTACTCAGGGCTAGGCAACAAGATGTCTTTCCTGGCCAAGAATGTCCCAGAGGGGCTGGAGTGTATCCAGCTGGCAGACTGTGCACTTAGCAGGTACAAGGCCCAGGTTTCAATCCCCAGCAGCAAAAATTGAAAATAAATAAAAAACATTTTCAATCCCTAAGGACAAACAACAAAAGTTGTTCCCTGATGTAAGGCACAATACCAGATCGTTGTTTTAAAATTTATTAAATTGGTTGGGTGTGGTGGTACACACCTTTAATGTTAGCACTAGGAGGTAGAGGCAGTCAGATCTCTGAGAGTTCAAGGCCAGTCTGGTCTACATAGTTGAGTTTCAGCATATCCAGGGTTACAAAAACAAACCCTGTCTCAAAAAAAAAAAAAAAAAAAAAAAAGTAGTGCTGGGATTGAAGGTATGCTCCACCACTGCCCAGCCTTATACTAATTTCAATAAATCAATTTATAATTTCCATGAAGACAAAAAATACATTTTCTTCTTCATTTGAGTAATTTTTACATGTTAGATATTTAATTTTCAGAACAATGAACTAATGACCAATCACCCTGCTATAAGCTGCACATATGTGTGAATTTGTATATATGTACACTGTGGATTGAACCCAAGGCTTTGCCCGTGCTAGGCAAGCGCTCTACCACTGAGCTCTAAGATAAGTTTTGATACATTCGAACTTATCAAAATTCTACCTTTCTTCTTTATCTCCTCCTGTTACTCTCCTAGTTTAATGAAACAGTCTCCTGGTCCCCCAAGTCCTGGGACTCTTTCCTCTGAATTACCCCAAGCAGCAGGGTTTTTTTATTTATTTTTATTTTTATTTTTATTTTTTATCTTTCTGAAGCAAAGTTTAAAAACCAAAACAAGCCACCATTAACCTCCTGGAATTATGTCCTAGCTTGAAGCCCGCCATGTAAGACCCCACCATAAGATGAACATCACTGGTTTCCAGGCGGCCTCTGTCCCATTAGCTCCAACTAAGCCAGTTTTCCTGGTAGCCAGTCTGCATCTTTACACATTGTTGTCTCTGTTTACATCATTTCTTTTTCCTTTCAGTAGTTGCCTACTAAAATTTTATGTATCCACTTAGATCCCTCTCTTTTAACCACTCTCTTGGAAAACGTTTCTGTTTTTTAAAGTCTGGACCAGGCATGTAGGTCAGTGGTAGTGTGCTTGATCCAATAGGCGTGCATTCGCGCACACATACACACACACACACACACACACACACACACACACACACACACACATGAATGCATGCACGCACAAACAAACCACTCTTATCCTTCAAGCTGATGATATGAGTACATACACACACACAGAGATACACAAATACATACACATACACACAGTCTTTTGATTAATTTGATAAAGTTCCCACCTTTATGGTGTTTAATTCCAGATCGTCCTTCATGTATATGGTATTTTGAGAAAGGGTCTGGCTGCCTTCAAACTCAGAGATCAGCTCTCTGCTTCTGCCTCCCCAGTACTAGGATTAAAGATGTACACTCCTTTCCTTTATGTGAAATGTGACCTAGCTTTCCTTCTATGGTGTAAATATTTGGAGTAGAGATTATATCATATTAACTTTCTGGTACTTGCAATAGTAGAGGGGAACATGCCCATGAACCCTCAGTTTTCATATGTACAAATCCCCTAATAGGCTTTATAATTTGTTAACATATAATTTTTGCCATAATCATAGATGTCCTATTTCTATTTACATATTGTCCTAACTTGGTTTCTTCTTTCTTTCTTTCTTTCTTTCTTTCTTTCTTTCTTTCTTTCTTTTTTTTTTTTCAAAGAGTTAAAACACATCATAATGTCTTACTTAAAACAAACTCTGAGCTCTATTTTGTGGTTCTTCTCAACCAAAAATACTTTTATTTTAGGATTAAAGGTGTGCACCACCACTGTCTGGCTCCTAGTTTGGTTTCTATTGCTGTGGTAAACACCATGACCAAAAGCAATTTGAGGAAGAAAGGATTTATTTGTATATGACCAAATTACAGTCCATCAATGAGGCAAGAATTCAAACAGGGCAGGAACCTGGCAGCATAAACTGAAGCAACTGCCAAGGAACAACACTGCTTATTGGCTTGCCCTCCCGGCTTGCCCAGCTTCCCTCCTTGCTTCCTTCCTTGGGCTTTTGTTTTGTTTTGCTTTCTTTTGTTTTTTAAGACAAGGTTTCTCTGTGTAGCCCCAGTGGTCCTGGCACTCGTTCTGTGGTCCAGGCTGGCCTTGAATTCAGAGAAACACCTGCCTCTGCCTCCTGAGTGCTGGGAGTAAAGGTGTATGCTTCCACCTGGTTCAAGCTGCTTTCTTTTAATTAATTAATTAATTAATTTATATTACATATAGTGTTCTGTTTGCATATACACCTCCATGCCAGAAGGGGGCACTGGACCTCATTACAGATGGTTGTGAGCCACCATGTGTTGCTGGGAATTGAACTCAGAACTCAGAACCTCTGAGCCAGTGCTCTTAACCTCTGAGCCATCTCTCTAGCCCTCAGGCTGCTTTCTCAATCAATGGGCCATGCCCTTCTATATCAATCATTAATCAAGCAAATGGACCTCAGATTTGCCTACAGGTAATCTGATGGAGGCATTCTCTCAGGTGAGGATCCCTCTTCCTAGATGACCCCAGCTTGTGTCTAGTTGACAAAAGCTAACCAGCACACATATAAAAATACAAAGAAAAGACCAAATGCATCTCTGGCATCACTCACATTGTAAAAGGCCCCCAGATCTTAGCATAACTGCCATGTTAGAGACACCATTCTGACCTTAAAACGCAGCATGTTGGCCCCACAAAGCTGCCAAAATGGAAACAAAGACCTTATCCACAAAGACCTAGTCCACAGCTCCCAAAAAAGTCCCTAAATGTACTGACTCCGCTCTCTGGGTTCTGTAGTTCTGCTTCTTGCCAAGTCTGACAACCAGGATGTGGTCTGTGTTTACAAAAGACAAAGGCTCAGAGATGCAGGATTCAGGCAAGGTCTCAGTACAGCTGCCAGCCAGTGATAAAGACTTTCTTTTCTGTTTTAAGAGTGCCCTTGTAGTAGTCTCTGGTGGGCTTATCTGAAAACAACATGTTCACATGACATGCTTTAATTAATCCTTCTGTATATTTTCATATACCTTTTCTCCATTTCTATAGGAGTCTAAGGACCCAGAGGGCAAGGGAGATATTTCTCTATCTCCACAGCTTACCTGGCTATGTCAGAAAAGCTGGATGCTCACCTGAGTGGAAGAGAAGCCCCCATATGCATTGCGTTGCTTGGCCAACCAAGCCACTATGCTAGTGGCCTTGGCTATTTCCTCTTGAGTCAGGCTGTCTTTGATGAGGTGGGCCAACAATACATAGGCTGTAAGCTCTATATCCACCGCCTTAGGCTCAGACCAAGGACTAGTATCTGAAACTGCAGGTTTCTGGCTCCAGTGAATGGATTCTCCTACAGAGAAGAAAGCGTCACTGCAAAGGTTTGCCAAGAACTGACAGACTTTCCCATTTTCACTTAGTAAACATCACACCTTAAAGTGGAGAAGTGGCAGTCAAGAATCAATCGTGGGTTAGAAAATACTTCTTCGAACCAGCTGATTCAATTGGCCCTAAGTATATATGGTGTGTGTGTGTAACTCACTAAGGTGAAGCTAAAGGGTCAATAAATGTTTCTGCTGCAGAAATATTCGAGAACCATTCTTGCTAGTTTATAGGTTCCAATGCATATGCAAATAAGTAGGCAAAAACTTCATAAGAATTTTGTGTGCTTGGGGCATTTGTTGTTGTTGCTGCTGTACAAGGTTTTAGCAATTTTTCATCATTGGCTTCACTTATCCAAAGACTGGCCATTTTGAAAATAAAAATGGTAAGATAGGTATATGAATGCTAAGAAATCCACTAAGGAAGTGGATTAAGTAAAATATACTGGCAAAATTAACCCTGACGATGGGTACCCTGAAAAAAGAACACATGGAGATAAACAGTGGAAGAAGACTGTCTTCAAAAGAAGCTGAGATAATGGATAGCTCAACGAGATAATCAAACTGGAAGAACAAAACGGAAAACATGTGGGCTGCAATTCAAGATGATGCAAAAGAGACAAGATCAATCTAATGGGGAACAGGTGTGTCCCGCCCACTCTCAACAACAGTCAAGTACAAGACAACAAACTCTGCAGAGCTCATATGAGAGGCCAGTGTGGTTCTGGTGGTACTGGTGTTCATATAGATGAAAGCGGAGATTAAATTTCTGCCTCGAAATAGAATCCTACACATATAGATAAAGAAAATGTACTGGTGTTTCGCTTATGACTCTGCTATAACCTCAAATATTACTCTAAATATGCCCAAATTGATCTTAGACCAAATATCTCCAAAACAGTTCTAAAACCCCGGTAAATCTCAACAAATGCATTCATTCCCATGTTCAGAATATGCAATGATGTCTTTTGATGACTGAAATGGACTTTGTCTCAAAACTCTCAATGGTGAGCTTATGACCCAACTTCTACCAAAATAATCCCTGAATATCTGATCTGTGAGGCAGAGGACAGCACGGAAAACGACGGCTAATTTACAGCACACCTTCACAGTCCCAAAGAATGCCTACTACGACCAACACACCTGAGACAGTGGCCTGTTGATCTAACTTGCGAAGAAGAGCACTTCTGATTTCCATGTCTCCAGCCAGAGAGAAGGTATAAGCTAAGAGGGCCTGGGTGTAGAGGTTGCTAGTGGAGGTGACAGACTTCCTGAGGCACTGCAGACCTTGTCTCACCATCGGGTCCTAAAAGGTCAACATGGTCAATTGAATTCATAAGGCATTTCTCCTAAGATGGGAAGCAATAAAGATATCATCATATCGCCCTTGATTTTAACAGAGTGAAGGGTGGACCAGTGGGTCAGTGGATAAAGTCGCTTGCCACCAAGCCTGACGACTTGAGTTGGACATCCAGAGCCCTTGTGGTAGAAGCAAACAACCAACTCCTTCGAGTATCTTCTAATACACACACACACACACACACACACACACACACACACACACACAAGCACGCACGCACGCACGCACGCACGCACGTGTGCACAGGCACACAGAATAAAATATAAAATATAATGACAGGGTTAAATAGGGACAAAGAAGAATAAATGTCTCCAGGAACAGGCAAGACAAGGAGTTAGAAAACTCACATTGACGGTCTTTCCCATCTCCAGCAGTGCAGCTGTGATGTAAGCAGTCAAGGAAATCTCATCGTCAACACCACCCTAGGGGGAAGCAGGGACAGGGGACATCAGAGCTGCGGCCAACACCTCAAAGAATAATGTGTAGACTGCAAGAAGAAACTGTCTCCCCTGGAGCTTTCTGCAGCCCTGACAGCCCAGGACACACAGTGAGGTAAGAAAGACTGGAATGGAAGCCACAGGAGGAGGCAGCCTGAGAGCGCCAGCTGGGTGGGGGGCACTTAGAGGTGGAGGAATAAGTTTCTCACAGGGAACCCCCACCCCCAACCCCACCCCACCCCAGGAACACGTGCCCAGCCCCTTATCCAGGAAAGATTAAGAGTAACCTTCTCTGCTCAACACGGCTCCTAGAAAGAGCTTCGGAAATTTGAAAAATTTCGAAAGCAGCCTGGTCTACAGAGCTAGTTCCAGGACAGCCTCCAAAGCCACAGAGAAACCCTGTCTCGAAAAACCAGAGGAAAAAAAAAAATAGGAAGAGCACTTGAGTGTGGCCAGCCCATGGGCTGGAGTCCTGGACTGCATGCGAAGAAGGAAATGAACCGAGCGTGAGTGGTCATGTCTCCCTGCTTCCTGATTGCAGACACCATGTGACAAACTGCCTCCCCAGGCTCCCATGCCATAACTTCCCGACACCAGGCCATCAGACCCTGTGCCAAATTAAATCCTTCCTTCCTTACACGACACAGTAGGAGTAGAGGGGTGGGGAGGGGACAGCGCCTTTGGAGTCTGGCTGCAAAGTTTCCACTTACAGAGCAGGGCAGTTCACTGCATCTCTGGGCCTTTGTAAATGATAGTAATAGCAGCGTACGGGTACTTAGCTCACTGATTTGTTGTAAACATTAAGTATCAAACAAGTATTGAGAACAGTACCTGGTACAAAAGACAATGGAAAATGGCAATAGCAAGGGACCCAGAGACCGCCTGGTCCAGCGGTCTGAAACTTCAGTTTCTAATGAGATCATCACAGGCCGCCGGCTCACACTCCCAGTTTCCACTCACTGCATCTGGGGTACGAGCCGGGATCTGCATTTCAGCAAATTCCCAACTGATGCTGATGCCCTTGATCTGAACACTAGACTAGACTCCGGAGACTCTTCTCCTTCCATAGACATAAAGACAGAAGACCAGACTGGTAAGCCCTTGACCAAGACCACCCACAGCAGGGCTAGACCTGAAAAGGCACTCCCAGGCACTGTGGGGGCTGCAGGCCCCTCCAAAGATCCCCACCTTCATAGCTGTGTGCAGGAGCTTTCCCACATTGTCGTAGCAGCCACTGGGGAGCTGGTTTCCTGCCATCCACTTGAGGGCATCCTGGATGTTCTTGTCGTCGATAAAGATGAATTTCTGAGCTTGGCCAAAACATTTTGTGACAAAGGCTGTCAACCTACACAGGTGAAGAAAAAATCACAGCAAAAAGAGGGACTTGCCAGATGATGGCGCACAATTCCAGTTTGTTCTGGTTCTAGAAGGGGGCCAAGACACCTAGAAAAGGGTGAACTAAGGCCCTGGGAAAGAGTGAGGGACTTGACCACGTGTGAGCAAAACTAAGCAGCATTGAAGGGCAGAGCCTGAGAGCATGAGGAAGGAGATTGCAGGGAGAGATGGGGAGGAAGCGGGTGCTTCAAGAGTTAGGTTCGGGAGGGGGGAACCTGTGGGAAGCAGGCAGTGTTACCATGTGTTGCCATTTCCATCCTGTTCCCCAAAGGCGCTGTATGAACCATTGCTGTGTTTATACATCAGTTCCTGCTGGTACCCTGAGGAACCAAGATGTGATTTTAGATGTCATGACAACGTCAACTCACATCATCAAGATTTTCAAGGAAAAAACAGTACTCAATTTTATATGGAGAAACAAAAGACCCAGGATAGCCAAAACAACCCTGTACAATAGAGGAACATCTGGAGGCATCACCATCCCTGACTTCAAGCTCTATTACAGAGCTATGGTCCTGAAAACAGCTTGGTATTGGCACAAAAATAGACAGAGAGACCAATGGAATTGAATTGAAAACCCTGATATAGACCCACACGCCTAAGAACACCTGATTTTTTGACAAAGAAGCTAAAATTATATAATGGAAAAATGAGAGCATCTTCAACAAATGGTGCTGGCATAACTGGATGCTGACATGTAGAAGACTGTAAATAGATCCATATCTATCGCCATGTATAAAACTTAAGTCCAAATGGATGAAAGACCTCAACATAAATCCAGCCACATTGAACCTCTTAGAAGAGAAAGTAGGAGATGCCCTCGAATGAATTGATACAGGAGACTGCTTCCTTCCTGAACATAACACCAGTAGCACAGACACTGAGATCAACAATTACTAAATGGGACCTCCTGAAACTGAGAAGCTTCTGTAAGGCAAAGGACACAGTCAGTAAGATAAAATGGCAGCCTACAGAATGGGAAAAGTTATTCACCAACCCCATATCTGACAGAGGGCTGATTTCCAAAATATACAAAGAACTCAAGAAGCTAGTCTCCAAAACACCAAAAACTCCGATTAAAAAGTGGGATACAGAACTAAATAGGGAATTCTCAATAGAGGAATCTAAAATGGCTGAAGGACACATAAGAAAGTGCTCAACATCCTTAGCCATCAGGGAAATGCAAATCAAAACAACTCTGAGATACCATCTTACTCCTGTCAGAATGGCTAAAATCAAAAACTCCAAGGACAGTCTAGAGGATGGAGATTGCTAGAAAGGATGTGGAGAAAGGGGAACATTCCTCCACTGCTGGTGGGAGTGCCAACTTGTACAGCCACTTTGGAAATCAGTATGGAGATTCCTCAGGAAAATGGGAATCAGTCTACCTCAAGATCCAGCAATTCCACTCCTAGGCTTAGACCCAAAAGATGCACATTCATACAACAAGGACACCTGTTCAACCTTGGTCATAGCAGTGTTGTTTGTAATAGCCAGAAACTGGAAGCAGCCTAGATGCCCCTCTACGGAGGAATGGATAGAGAAAATGTGGTACATTTACATAATGGAGTACTATTCAGGAGAAAAAAAAAAACTATGGAATCTTGAAATTCGCAGGAAAATGGATGGAACTAGAGGAAACCACCCTGAGTGAGATAACCTAGTCACAAAAAGATGAACATGGTATGTACTCACTCATATATGGATTTTAGACATGGAGCAAAGGATTACCAGATACAATCCACACCACCAGAGAAGCTAGGAAATACAGAAGACCCTAAGAGAGACATACATGGTCCCCCAGAGAAGGGGAAAGGGACAATAGCTCCTGAGATAATTGGGAGCATGGGGGGAGGGAAGAGGGAGTTAGAAGAAAGAGAAGGGGAGAAGAGGAGGTCATGAGGGAGCAGGAAGACTGAGTCAGGGGAAGAATAGAGGAGAGCAAGAAAATAGATACCATAATAGAGGGAGCCATTATAGGTCTAAAGAGAAATCTGGCACTAGGGAAATGTCCAGAGATCTACAAGGAGGACCTCAACTAACAATCTAAGCAATAGTGGAAAGGCTTCCTTAAATGCCCTTCCCCGATAATGAGATTTATGACTACCTTATATGCCATCCTAGAGCCTTCATCCAGTAGCTGATGGAAACAGAAGCAGACACCCACAGCTAAACACTGAGCTGAACTCCTGGAACCCAGTTGCAGAGAAGGAGGAGTGATGGATGAGCAAAAGGGTCAAGTCCAGGCTGGAGAAACCCACAGAAACAGCTGACCTGAACAAGGGGGAGCTCATGGACTCCAGACTGATAGCTGGGAACCCAGCATAGGCCTGTTCCAGACCTCCTGAACATGGATGTCAGCTTGGAGGTCTGGGCAATCTATTGGGCCTCTGGTAGTGGATCAGTATTTATCCCTAGTATACAAATGGACTTTGGGAGTACACTCCACATAGAGGGATACTCAACCTAGGCACACAGGGGAGGGCCTAGGCCCTGCTCCAAATGATATGGCAGGCTTTAAAGATCCCCCGTGGAAGGCCTCACCCTACCCCTAGAGCAGAAAGGGGATGGGATAGGGGATTGGTGGGGAGCAGGGGAGGAGGGGAGGGAGAGGGAACTGGGGTTGACATGTAAAAGAAGCTTGTTTTTTTAATTTAAAAAAAAGATTTTCAAGGATGTGGGACACTTCAGAAACTGAACTTCTCTATTGCTTATCACCTACTGTAAGCTTTCCAGAAGGGTGTACAATGAAGAAAAGTCTAACTTACCTTTCTCCAGGAAGCCTACTGCCCGAGACCTGATCTCCTCAGTCAGCAGCCCTGTCTTCTCCAGGTACTGCAAGACGTAGATGATGGGAGCAAAAATGACCATGTTCTGCTCCCCGCAGCCACTGGGCATCTGCACCAGACCATCTAGGTGTTGGAGAGCTGTGCCCATGATGTCTCCTGCGATTCAGATAGAGAAATAAAGGATATGGTAGCTGTCCTGGATCTCACTCTGTAGACCAGGCTGTCCTTGAACTCAGAGATCTGTCTGTCTCTGCCTCCCAAGTGCTGGGATGAAAGGTGTGTACCACCAACCACCACCTGGTCAAGTACAGGGATTTTAAGTGGACATGTTGCCAGAGATGTTGCAAGTGACATAACAAAACCACCATCCTTAGCCTTAATATAACCTTAACACCTAAGCTCCTCAACTGCACATAAATTTATCCCCAAATAAGCACATTCCTCCCAGACACCCATAGTTACAGGTACTTTCTCCAATTCACACCTACTGACACAGCACACACACCCACAAGCCAGCTAGCAGGATACTGTGACTCCTTTGTGTTTTAGACATTAGTTAGGTTCAATTCAAATCTACAAACATGTACTCGACATCAACTATGCTGAAGGAATTTGTCAGAGACAGAAAGACACGAGCCATGTTCTCAGAGTGAAGACGGATCTCATGTGTAGCAACACTGGAGGGGAATGTGCGCAGTAGCCCGGTTACTGATAGGTCACGGTCACAACAGAGAAAGTGACCTGGAAGGGATCTTGGCAGGGGTGAGAGACTAAAGAAAGTACTGACGAGTACCCAGCTCCTGCCAGGTGCTAGATACTGTGATGACAACTCTATGACACAGGTCTTAGTCCTATGTCAGTCCTGAGAGGTGGTTACTATCACTGTTTCACAGACGGGTAAGAAGGCTGGGTCATCTGTGACCTTGTTCGGTTCATGGAGGGGTTCGGTGGCAAGATGAACGTGTCAAACGCCATGTCTGCTCATTCCCCCTGTTCTCCCTAAGGAGTGGCGTACACTGTGCACTGTCTGTGTGAACATGGCTGTTGTTACCTTCTGAGCTGAACACAGATGCTTCATTGTTAAATGGCTGCAGCAAACATTTTATCTTTTCTCTACCCAGGTTATAGATACCTTAGACCCAAATACATATCAAACTTCTGTAACAGCTAGCTTCCTCCTGCCCCAACGCCTCCATTGTTTAAAAGGTTTTATTTTTATCCTGCCTCGATTCCTTCATTTTTAAAAAAGATATGTTTTATTAGTGTGTGTGTGTATGTGTGTGTGTGTGTGTGTGTGTGTGTGTGCACGCAGGTACCCTCAGAGGCCAGAAGAGTGCACTAGATCTTCTGGAGCTACAGTTACAAGCAAGTTTGAGTCAACTGACAGGTTGCTGGGCCCCCTGGAAGAGCGGAATGTGCTCTTAGCCTCCAGGTACAAACAGCACCTTCATTTGAATCTGCATTTGTAGCCCCATCTGGTACAGGACTTGCTTTCCTTCTTTCATTCCTTCAGATCTCGGATACTTGCTTCAGGTGCACATGCTGCCCCGCTATGCCTCTGCAGCCTCTGGCCCACCTTGTACCTTGTCCTTTCCAAGCAAGCTGCTTACCCAGAGCAGTAATGTGAGCCTTGGCGGAGTCGGGAACAGTATCCTCAGGGAGCTCCAGGGAGACAGAGTCTGAAGCCACCTCTCCTGTGACCACATAGAAAAGGTGACATGGATGGTGGGGTCCTGGGATTCTGAGTCAAGTCCTGTGATCAAGGGTTTTCTACTCCCAGTGTGTTCCAGTATTTTCTATGGGGTGGCATGCAGCTGGGTTTAAGCGGATTCACAGTGATTTTTGCTGAAAATGAAACTCAAGGAGTCACACATGGGCTCCTTAGAATTTTCCTTTTTGTAAAATCCTGCCTTTCAGTTCCTTGATCCCAGCAGGGGTAACAACCTAGCCAGCCTCTCTTTTCCCTTCCAGTCTGTGCACTCCTCTGCCTTGTTTGTTTGTTTGGTTGCTTGGTTTTGGTTTGGTAATAAGGTCTCTCTCTGTGTGGCTCTGGCTAGCCTGGAACTCCCAGTTTAAACCAAGCTGACCCCAACCTTGTGATCCTCCTGCCTCTGCACTCAACTGGGATTACAGGTTGCACCACCACTTCCAGCGCCACCCTCCTTTTGTGTGTGAACATCACCTGTTGCCCAAGGGACATCTTCCTAGCCACCCGTTCAGATCCACCCACCTTTGGGACACAACAGTGAGCTGTGAGTCTTCTCCACAAGGATGCCTTCAGGCTGCACGATACAACGGAGGGAGCATCAGATGAACAGCATGATGGGAATAGAAGGGGAAGGACAGGGAGGAGGCCCTTCCCAGGGTCCCATGCTTCCCTCAGAATGTAAGAAAAGGGAGATTTTCTTTGAAGCATAGAAGTACCCTGTCTCGATCCCAGGATGGGCTCGTTTTATAAACATCTTTCCAGACACAGCCTACAGCTAGGGAAACCTTTAGAAAAGTTTTTAGAAGCAAGGTTCAGTAGGGTTTGCAATGGGTTAAAAAAGCAACTGATGAGGTCATGAGTTTTAATAAGGGAAGCTAACATTCGCTTGAGTGTTTGCAGTGAGACTGGCATCACATTGAGCACTCCCGTGGGCCCCAGGCATGGGTTAGGCAAATGGCTAAGATAGAAGGGCCAAGGGAGAAGAACACAGAAACTCCCAGGCTGCAGGTAGAGTGTGAGGGCTGTGAAACTGACTGGCAGGGTGGGGCACTGAGCATCCTGTGTGGTTGTCATCTCCACCTGATGCCAGTCCTGAGAGACACTCACCTTGACAAGAACTGGCTTGATGAGCGTGTCGCTCTGGCCTCTATTAGGGACAACCCCCTTCCGGCCCCCACAGAGTTCATTGCTGTCTACAGTTTTGGTACTAATAGTGAAATTGACATGACCTGAGGGGAGATAAAGGAAGGGGAGTGTCAGCCTTGTTGTTAAACCAAGGGGCCAACGAGGCCTCCTCCCCTTTAGACTCTCAAACCGGCATGGCCCAACCATCACCTGGGACCGTGCCACAGTGCAAGCTCTAGCTCAGAGGCCTGGTGTGCAGCCTGGATTCTGCACTTCTCAGGTATTCCTGGGTGACGCAGTGATGAGGAGGCAGTATGAAAGGTGACTTGTAAGGGTACAGGAGCCCTGCGTTTTAATGGTTACCTCCTTTGGGGTGTGGGCTGGGTTGAGTGACTCCATTGAATAGGGTAGGATGTTTGGCTTTTTTGTTTGTTTGTTTGTTTGTTTTTGTAGTTTTGGTGCTGAGGATGGAACTAGTGGCCTTGTGACACACACTAGGCCATTAGTCTGCCATTGAGGCAGGTCCCCAGCCCCAGTGACTCGAGACCGAGCAGAAGCAATGGGCTAGGTCTTCTGATGCTCACACAAAGGCTGCAGGCTCTCTCTGGTGTGCAGACTTGCCAGCCATGGGCTCTGGAGAAGGACTGCTGCTTTGTGACAAAGCTGCCCAGAGAAGACTCCTATGAGTCATGGAATGGGGGCTCCAGTTCACAGCTGAAGCTAAGAAAATGGCGTTCAGACCGTGAGCCTGCCAGAAACAGGGCCTCTGAAGTGAGCTCAGAAGCAGATCTTCTTTCAGGTCTTCAGGTGAGACCACAGCCTTGCCAGACCTCAGTGCCACATAAGCCAGGTGTGGTCACATATGACTATAATCCCAGCACAGGAGCTCGAGGCTTGGATCTGAAGCTCAAGACTGTCCTCAGCTACACAGTGAATCTGAAGCCAGCCCGGAATATATGTAGCTGTGTGTAAATAAATAAATAAATGTTTGTTCTTCCAACCCATTAAGTTTTCCAGTAGTTTATGACTATTAAATCAAAGGCCATCTTTTGATTGCAGGGATTTACTCCGTGAGAGAGAGCCAGTGGGTCGGTATGAAGATTAAATGAGTTAGTATTGGGGCTGGAAGGATGGCTCAGTGGTTAAGATCTCCAGCTGCTCTTGCAGAGGACCCAGGTTCAGTTCCCAACACCCACAGGGTGACTCACAACCATCTGTAACTCCAGTTCCAAGAACTGATGCCCTCCTTCTGACCGCCCGCCACAAGCTCCTGCTTGCACATGGCACATGGATGTACACTCAGACACAGACACATAAAAATAAGTATTTTCTAGAAATGGGTTAAAACATTAAAGCAGCTGGGACAGTGTCCATCCCATGGTGGGTCCTTGTCAAGGTCTAAACACTGAAGCTCTTCCTTCACACTCTGAATATTCTAGATTGGGTACTTTTGTTTGGTCTTCTCTTGGAGCCTTTGCTTATTTACATGTCACAGCCTCAGGAGGGACAGGGTAGCGGCAAATGAAAAGGAGCAAAGCAGAAACAAGCCAACAAAGCAGGAAAACACAGAGGTCTCGTGTCCTGTCGGCTTCCCAGTCCATTAGTCCTCTTACCCAGCTTGACAGCCGTGATGTTCCAGTGAAAGGTCTTTGCTTCGTTGGCACCCAGGCAGCTGGAGGCCTGATAATCTGTCCCTGAGTCCACATGGTACTCATCTGATGGGGCCAGGCGAGTCTGAACCTGCACGATCAAGAAGTAAAAGGTATGAGTGGAACATGATAGTGCAGGCCTGTAAACCCTGACGCCTTGGAAGGCCCGGGCAGGAGCGCACAGGAGCGCAAGTCCAAGTCAGGGTTGGGCTACCGAGTGAGTTCAAGGCCAATGGGAGCAACTTTGTGAGCCTCTATCGCAAAGTAAAAAGTAAAAAAGTAGGCTGGGAGGTGGGAATTCAGCGAGAGAGGACAAAAATGCATTCATATACGGAATTGTCAAAGAATAAATATATGAATAAATAAAAAAGAGTGCGGGGATGTAGCCCAATGGTCGAGCATTTGGCTAGGGTGCTTA